TTTTTTTTTTTTTTTTTTTTTTAAATAAATGGTGGAACACAAAGGGACGGAGATTGCACGTGCCCACATACCCATGGACAACACAGGGATGCTGCCACTGCGCAGGCACGGAACATCCGTGATGGTGACTCCTGATCCGCAACCGGTTAGCCCTTTATCACTCAGGCAAAGCAAAACCTTGCTGCAGCAGTTTTTGCAAGTGGTCACTGGCAAATCCAGTGACTCTGGGGGCAGATGGGTTTGTAGAGAGTGTTGCAACTCCTAGCCCATGCCGGCTCCTCTCAGGCTCATCTGCCCATTTCTTTGTAGTAGCATCAGCTGTCTTGGTCTGCTCCCTTTTGTTTCTGCTTTAAAAGCAGAGACACCAGCCCAAACAAAGTTAACAGGCAAGGGCTGTAATTACGATTTCCCCTGTTCTTGGGGGTTGCCTCACCGAAGCTAATTAATAGCATCCCTGTGACTAATGCTTGGGCTGTGGGAACTGCTTGAAGAATGCGCTGAGAGCCAGAACTGCAGCAGCCACCCCTCAAATAGCTCATGGTGTGACAAGGCATCTCCAACCGGCTTAGGGGGACCTCCCACCTCCTTCCAGCAATCCTAGAGTGAGCTCTGCCAGAGCTGTGGCTCTCCCGGATGCAGAATGTGTTGTAGGAAGTCTCATCCCTGTTAGTGAGCACTGACAGCCTTTAGGAGGTTTTCTGGGGATGATGCACCTGCACCTTTCTGTTCAGCAACCTTTTCTTGTGCCTTTCTGTTTATATCCACACTCCCTTCCTTCCTAAGGACCTATCGAGGCTCAGCAGCAGCCCAACCTGGATAATGAGGCCAGGTAACGCAGGATCATTAAGGACTAAATATGAGTTCAACCCTGTGCAAATGTTTGGGGCCAAGGAGGCCTTGTGGCTCAGAAGCACAGTCCTGGGCATGGGTGGAGGGTTGGAGGGAGGCATGGATAAAAGCAGCATGATAATGGAGGAACGTCTGAATCCACAAGTGCTCCTAATACAGGAATGAGAAATAATCCGTTCATCTGCAGCTCTGCAGCTCAGCTCCATGTGATGACCTCAGATGCCTCTCTTGAGGCCAAGCAAAGTCCTCCAAGGACTGGCTTAAAGCCAATATTGAAGCCTAACCTTCAGGAAATTTAAAAATGTATCATTTCAAAGGAGTTCATGTGAAAACTGCTTAGCAAGGCAGCACAAAACTCCTCCAGCCATGCCTCATGCCCCTGTAAGCAGTCAGGAGCGGAGCCCTTTGGAGGAATGCAAGAACAGGGCAAGTGTGTGTTACAGTCTTTGCTGTGTTGTTTTTTATTTTATTTTTTTGCCACGAATTCTCGACTACAAAGCTTTGCAAAGAGCCTTCTCAACATCCTGAAGCAGAATGCCACAGCTTACCTGTTTGCTGGATAAAAGGAGTCTCTTCAGTGTGAGCATGCCCAGAAATTTCCCCTGCAAGCTCACTCATTAAGTACAGCCTTGCAGTTGAAGCAAAGGCAGGTGAGCACAAATGCTTTCTGACAAGTTAGGATGGTATTTTCACCAAAGATGACTTTTTTTCTGTGCTGTGCTTGCACGGTTGCACGGTTAAGTGCCTGTGACTTTTCCTCCAATCCTGAATTTCTGCAGGAGGAGCAAAACATTTGCCTGACTTGAGCAAGCAAAGACGAAAGAAGAGCTTTTTGTGCTTTTGTTCCTGCATTTGCTGAGGTGACAGACGTCAATTTTTGCATAAGTACTGCTGCAGCTGAACACACCGGGGGGAAGGGGGGAAGCTGGGACCAGGCTCATGCTGGATCAAGCAGAGCAGCGCTTGTGTTTTCTGGATACATCTAAGGTGTGATTTGGCTGTCCTGCCTGCTTGAATGCCTGAACTGCAGGGAACAACATCTGATGTGTGGAAGGTAAGAAAAGTAGGATGCCCTCCTTTAAACACAGAGGTATTGTGGGGATTGAGGATTCAGCTGTCTCTGGTTTTAGCTGCTGCATTAGGGACTCCACATTAGTTGCCCACTGCCCTCATATACTGCCCTATAAGTGTCAGGGACACTTATAGCAGGACTAGTTATCTGCGAAGAGTGACAGGGACATTTCTAGCAAGAGTAATTAGCTGGTCCTTCATTTCTGAGCACATCTGAGCCTCTGGCTTCTGGAGGGCCTGCCAGGTGAAAGCACATCTACCCCGTCTTACAAGAAAGGAGGGAAGCCTGAGCTCAGCAGCAATTTCTCGAACCACTGTCAGACCTTGGTGAATCCTCAAAGCCATGGGGATCCTTAGGAGGCAGAGCCCCATGATGCCTGTTCACCCATGCAGCTACCTCTGTAATGGTTGACTGGACCCAAAGGCCTGAACTGGCCCTAGGTTGACCAGATGGCCATAGAAGCCTGAGGTGCTGCTGGCAGCCCATGTCTCAAGAAAAGAGCCAGTGCTGGGGCTGCTGCTCATCTCTCCTGGCCCCAAATGGGAGGCCACCATGGAGGGATCTGCACAACTCCCTGAAAGGATGTTGTAGCAAGGTGGGTCTTGGCCTCTTCTTCCAGGTAGCAGCGATAGGATGATAGGTAATGGCCATAAGTTGTGCCAGGGGAGGTTCAGGGTGAATGTTAGGAAGAATTTCTTCTCAAGAGAGCAGCGATGCAGTGTTGGGGGTCACCAACCCTGGTGTTCCGGAACTGTGGAGAGGTGGCACTGAGGGACGTTGGCAGAGGGCATGGTGCAGACAGTACTGACAGTTGGACTTGGGGATCTTAGTGGTTTTTCCAAACTTTATGATTCTATGATTCTATGATCTCCTCTTAGAGGGAAGGATATCACATCCTTCCCCTTCTGGGAAGAAAATAATAGTTACTTGGAAGAAGATG